TTCGTCAGAGCTTTGATACGCTAAACCCAGCAAACCAATGTCGCCATCTTTAGCTTCTGTAGTGGATTGTGGCTGCAAAGTAGTAGGAGCTGCTGGACTCGGCGATCGTGCTTCAACACGATCATTCGTCGCAGGGCCAGCAACACGAACTCTCTTCGGCTTTACTTCCACAATGCTCTTAAGTAGATCCTGTTGCCTACAAGAGCCAAGTCACAAAAAGAACCACGCTTGAACTTAACCAGTACCGGATTCCACTCCTTGGCTTGGGCTCTACACGGATTGCAGGGAACGCCGGAGCTTGAGAAGCGTCCACTAAGCTGGCCGCTTTGTGCTGGAAAACTCGCGTCAAGGAGATCAATCACGGAAAAAGAGATAGCCGTCTCAAAAGTGTGAAGGATATCTTAAACGCATCAAACGCCTTCTTCTCTGATCTCCTCCTCACCCTCTCGGCATCCTCCTCGGCTTCCATCTGTTCTTTGAGGTAGAGAAGATCATCGCTGTCAAGAGCTGCAAAGACCCTCCCAGGAAAACGTGAGAAAACCAAGAAAAAAACGAGCTTTTCCTAGAGAAATGCAAGGAATTCAAAAACTAAGTGAAGAACAGTACCGCCTCGCCCATGCAAATACCCTCCGCGTTCCCCTGCTACCTCTTGCATCTGTTTCGCAGCGCCAATATCCCTGTCAGGGCAAGTTCTCAGTAACATCGCTCGACTGGAAGCGAAAAAATAGAAGCTTAAAACCAGTATGGCCGGTTCACTAACCCTGGCGACCATCTTCTTGAACGCCGCATCTTCATCATCTATCTTGTCTCTCAAACCCTTGGAATACCATCTCTTATCTGCAAGAAATCGAAAATTCAGCCCACATTCCACCCCAAATCCCTTATTCTAGCAGCGAATTCGGATGTAGCAGGAATTTTTTTGGAGATCTTACCTCGCGAATCGCTGAGATTGGTGTATTCCCTCACCTCTCGCCCCGCCATAGCCACGCCCGGGCAAGGCTATCTTTCTTTGTTTTTTAAAAAACCCTAGCCCTAATTGACTGACGGAAACTGCTATGACACGTCGGATTTGCGTTAACGGACGCGCCCGTTTAAATGGCTTAAACTTAAACCCGAAATAGGGCTATTTGGTTTGATATGTGAGGGAAGAGATTTTGGAACTTCTTTTACTCGTTTTCTTGGCGCTGGGCAGGGCTGGGCGGGCGGCGGCGCTGTTCGTCACGGCCATGGGCTCCATTGTGACGCGATTGATCCTGTAAGTCTCGATTTCCTTCCTCCGCGCCGTGATTCTCGAGTGACAATCGCTTTCTTGGCGATGTTTTTCTTGTAGAATGGTTGTCGGCTATGCCTATCCCGCTTACGAGTGCTTCAAAGGTGTCGAGAAGAGCCGTCCAGACATCGATGCTCTTCGATTCTGGTGCCAATACTGGTAATGCGTGACTTTTCCCTTTCCTATCCTTGCTGGAGAGAAGAACACTGTTTGTTTTGCTCATTTCTTTGCCTCGATCAGGATGATCATCGCGGTTTTGACGATATTTGAGCGCATCGGGGACACTTTCATCTCTTGGTACGAGCTTACTCTTCCATTTCTCTCTTCTTTTTCTTTTTTTCTTCTTAAGAGCAAGAGCTTGTTTCTCCAGGTTTCCAATGTACAACGAAGCAAAGGTCGCATTTATCATCTATCTGTGGTATCCCAAAACAAAGGTCTGGTACTTTCTTAGCTGTTCTTTCAAGGGATAATAACCAGCACTCGTTGTTCCAGGGGGCCACCTACATATACATGACGTTCCTGAAACCATACGTCTCTTTCCACGAGCCAACGATCGATCGCCACCTGAACGAGTTGAAGACTCGGGCAGGGGATTTGGCTTACAATTACTGGCAGAGAGCTGCGATGTACGTGCAAGCCAGGTTCTTGGAGCTCCTTCACTACGTGGCTTCGCAAACTCCGAACCCTCCCGTCGTAACTCAGGTACGCTTTGTTACGTTTTCCTTCATTTCGAGTGTTAAGCTAGCAGAACGCGTCCTTTAACCCCGTTTCTTTGCCACTTTCGAACTTCTCCTATAGGAAAGTAGACCCGGCTGGCTGAGACGCTCCTTCACCCTTGCCTCGAACTATGGCTACACAACCGTAGCAAACTATGTGGCCGTCACTGAACCCTCAGATGGCTCACAACTTCCCGTCCATCCTGATGCACAGGCATCGTTCAATCCACCACACCCGCATCCAAACAGCAATCCACACCCTCCTGTCAAGACCAACTAAAAGCTTCTTCATACTTGAAAACGAAACTCCGATTCCTTTTTGTGAGCCAAAGCCTCCTTCCTCTTTTTCGTACTTCTTCCCGAGCCTTATCCTCTCTGTTAACCAAAGTAGAGCTTTGCTTTCTCGTTTTCTCTCTTCGTTTCTCGGGTCTTCTGTTTGTAATGGCCTCCTTTGTTTTTCTCGCAGAATGTGACAACCAGGGATCAACCTCCTGCTGGTGGCCAGATTGTCGAAGACGAGGACTATCACCTTGTTAATGAGGCCGAGGCACTGGAGGAGGTCCCAGAGGGTTATCGCGAGCCACTTGTCAACAGGAGAAGAGCCGCCAATGTGTGGTGAGACTTTTCCAAGCCTCCTCCTCCTCTCGAAAGAAAAAAAACTCGTACAAATAAGCCAGAGCTTGCGGTGTGATCGATCATACACTTCGTCCCAATAGATGGTACGTGTAGATAGATTCCATTTCTCTGTTATCTAACTCTCGTGCTTCCAGTTTTTCCAAAGGGCATGTATATATTCATATTTCTTGTGGAAGAAGAAGAAGATATAGTCTCGAGAGACTTGGCGTGAAATAAAAGAGTGGAGCGTTACAATACCTCTTGCGATCACCGAGCGAGAGAGAGCTTGGAGTAAGCTTAGAAGGTACCCTGCTTGATGGCGTCTTCGTTGGCATCGCCCAAGGCGGCCTCGGACATATACTTCTCGGCGAGTTGGACCCTCTTGACGTTCTCTTGCTCCTTGACGAGCATGTATCCATACGACATGAGCTTGTTGATGGTCATGGCCGGCTTGGCAAACGTTGGTGGCCCGTCCCTTGAGTTGACGAGCTTGGATCCAATGTTCTCCACGCCGGTGGATTCGATCCACTTCCGGACCTCGTCATCATACACTCTTGCTCTTAGAGCACCGAAGAAATCTGCGAAAGACGAAACGGAAAAAGGAGTGAGAAGTTGCGGAATGTCGATCGAGAGAAGTTCCGCGTACCGATGGATTGGCCTGGGAATGCATCCACAAGCCTCACCATGTCGTCGTCGGAGATCCCATCTGTGCGGAAGATCCCCTTGCAAACTCCTATCCTGTCCTCGCGGGTTGGCGCCCAGTAGTACTTCTCCATACGACCATCTCGGATGAGCGGCGCGTAGAGCGTGGAGAAGTCGTTTCCAGTGACGATGATTGGAACTCGGGGGATCTCCTCCTTGTTGTAGATTCCAGGGAGCTGGACGTTGGTCGGATTGTCCGCGATGTTCATGAGCGTTGCGTTCACCATCTGGTTGTTGACGGTGTACTGGGTGGTGCCACCCATTCGCCCAGCACCGGCATCCAGATCGTTGATGAAGAGGCAGCACATCTTTCCTTTCTTCTTGATGATATCCGCAGCCTCGCGGTATCTCTGCCGGATGAGTTTCGCAGGCTCTCCTGCATTTCCACTCTCGAGTTCTCCAGCGCTCATCATGATCGGGCTGCCAGCAAAAACATGAGAATGAATGACTTGAACAAACAATAGAAACTTACTTGACACCAAGCTTGGAAAACACGAGCTCGCACTGGAATGACTTCCCCTGACCTTTGCCTCCCCAGATTCCAAGAATGAGTGGCACCTGGGACATTGTATTTAGGAAAAACTTTAAAAAAAACTTGTAAATTAGCTTGCCTTGATGTTTGGAAGTGACATGAAGTTCTTGGCAATATGGATCATCAGCTTCTCCATGAACGCGGGTGCGATGTAAAAGCCGTCCTTGGTGTTGTCAAAAGCAAAGCTGGACGAATTCGATTCACAACATCATCAATGGATCAGGAAAAAAAAAACGAGCAACTTTGACGTAGAAGAAGAAGCTTACTTGCGCTGGGCCGTGCTGATGTACTCGTAGCTACTCATGATAGCATTCTGGGTTCCCATTCCAATGGCTCCTTGGTAGAGAGTGTCCACCATTCCCTTGCCACGAGTAATGTCCTGCTGGTCGTCCGAGATATCGGTCGCCAAGCCCCCCCATCTATCTTTCGCCGACTGCTTTGTTTCGTCCTCTGTGCTCGAAGACTCGCAAACCACCCGGCTATGTCCGATAGCATGCGAGAGCGATGCTTGGAACGCATTCTTCCTTTTCAGGTTGAGGCCGAGAAACTGGGAATTGAGACAGGCCACCTTGGATGAGGATTTCTGCGCTGGTAAGCTCACAGCCTGGGAGAAAGGAACAAGACAGGTCAGTGAATTCTCGATCGCGAGCAAGAATGCGCTGGATCTAATCAATGCGTTGTGGAGACGACAAAACACGATGCATTATCAACGAAACGAAATCAGGAAAGATTTCGCGATCGATCGATGCGTGATATTTCGAGCAAGAGGAACAATTCTTGAAGAAAATGTGCCCAGAATCGATCGATGCCTCGCATTGCAGCGATGGAAATGTAGCAATCTAGCGCCAGGAGCAAGAATCCATGGATGCGATCCAGAGGAGAGATTATACCTGAGCAACGGGGACCGCCTGGAGAGACGACGCCATTGCGAGCGAGCGAGGGAGAGCGGTGGGAGAGCTAGGTATTGCGAGAGGGGGAGTGGCGCTTCTTCTAGACACAAGATAAAAACACAATCGCGTGGTTCTCAGGCACACATTGTGCAAACCGCGCGGCTGGATCACGCGGCGCACACGTGGCACCATTCTCAGGCCAGGAAGGGTGGAGAACACACGCCAGGTGGCATGCGCACAATGGCTGCAAATTAAATATTGATTCCTCTCCAATATTCCACTTCTCGACCACGAATTTACGTTATCGGATTAGATTAACACAAAGCAAAAAAAAACCTCGTCTTAAGAGCTTAAGCACCTGCGCTACATTGTTTATTTCTCGAGCTCTCTCTTCGTTTTACTCCACCTTGCGCCAGTTCCTTCGAGAAATAGGGTTCATCACTACTGGATTCTCCGACGCCGTGCGCGGCCAGCCCTCATCGTACCTCCTCTCCGTCTCGGCGATCCACTCGGGCGTCATGGTGCGCGGAGTGGTGCCTGCCACAGAGAATCGAATGCGCGTTCCAGGGAAAATTAGGGCGGGGAGAAATTTCACTTGCCTCCAAAGATCTTGCGATTGGAGATGAGATCCTGGCAAACGTAGGCAAAGACGAAGGAGCCCAGCACGGCGGGCACGGCCTTCATCGGGAACATAGGCCCCGAAGGGCGGAACGATCGGATCACTCGCGATGCGTCCTGCGACATACCTGATAAACCCTAAAAGATGGGAGCGCCGCCGCTTTAAAAACTAAAGGGGCAAACGAAAATAAGCGGCGCCGCTTAAAGCAAGCGAATATTCGTCTCATCAGTTATTCAAGAACCCTAAAAATGGTCGTGTGAATCAATCGAGTTTTGGGGGGAGAATGGCGGACGAGAAGCCCCCGCCGCCCCCGCCGCCGGCGAGGCGATTGAGCCTGCTTGAGAGGAGCAGCAGGCCCGACGTCCCGAAATTCAGGTACTCCTCTCCAGTTCTCCCCTCCGCGCCGCCGCCGAGGAAGCGCGTAAGCTTTGCCGAATCGGAGGATGTGAGGATCTTCGAGGCGGACAGGGAGCCCGTCGTCCAGCAGCCGATGATCTGGTTCTCGAGCTTTAGTCCGATCGCTGACGCTGGCAGCCGGCCGGATGAATCGAGCGAGCAGGTGAAAGGCAGCGATCAGCCCTCGACGAGCGGCGGCGGCGGCGGCGGCGCTGTTGTTGAGATTAAGAGGAGGTCTTCGTTGCTGGACAAGCCACCGGCGGCGAAAGAAGAGGTCGTGAAGAAGGATTGGCATGTCGAGCACGGCCAAGACCATGCCGAGGAGTGGTCGCAAATCTCCATGGCAGCGCAGAAGAAAGTCCATGAATCTACGAGGAAGAGGTCTAAGCGAAGCTCACGACCGATTCCAATCGGCAGCGCGGAGCAAGCTCTCGTTCCAGTGAGTGCTGCCACCGCCATGCCGTCTGCGTCGACTTCCACTGCCATAGTTGTCTGTGGAGGAGCTCCACGGCCGGAGGTGGCCGAGAAGAAGAAGAAAAAGAAGAAGAAGAAGAAGAAGAAGAAAAAGACGAAGAAGAAGAAGAAGAAAGCGAAGCAGATGAGCGTCATGGCGTTCTTGAGAGGAACTATCAAGAGAAGCAGCAAGGCCAAAGTCGAGAGAGCTCTCAAGAGGATGATGAGACGCATCGTGACCAAAGTGAAGCGCAAGCGCGATCGAATGAAGGCGGACAAAGATGTGGACATGGTGAAGATCCGGAGGGGATTTAAGCGAGGGAGGAGGAAGAAGAAGTTCTACACGGTGAAGAAGATTCGGGGGCGTAACTTTGGATTAAAATCCTTGCTCAAGCAGTGGAAGTGGGTTTTCATCTTCTCGTAAGAGATTAGAACTTGCAAGGTAAGGTTTTCTCTGTGCTCTTTTATCTCTAGAGTTCATTGTCTACGATGCAGTTTGGAACTTCTTGGAGCGCACCCAGGGAAAAACCTGGCTTGCTTTTAGTGCTATAAACTGTTGATGTTCTTCTTTTCCAGACTACGGTGAGAGGCCATCCTTATTCACAAGTACGTAACTCCTATTACAAGTTATAAGCTGCTAGAGTTTCTTATAGATTTTTTTGTCAGGGCGATACCATTTTTGAGTTCTTTTACGATACTGTTTTCCAATTGCTGGTAAGTGTTTTCGCGTAAGTAATCGCATCGTCACGGTTCTTGAGAAGATTTCAAATGGCACTGCACTCAATCAAAGCTGCCAAAGAGGCAAGATATTTCGTCCGAGATGAATGCAGCAAAGCTAACCAGTACTTGCGAGTTCGAAAGCCATCCTTGAAAACCAGAGGTCTGTATAGAAATTTGCATTGTTCTTTTCTAGGAGCACTACAAGAAGAACTAAAACCTTTCATTACCTTCTCATGTTCAGGGGCCCTGTGATGCAAGTCGCCACACACTTTTGTGTGCATCTCCCGGCCTTGGGAGAGATTGGTCTTTGGATCCTGGGCGCTTTCTCGGAGCCTGAGCGTTTAAAACCCGACCGGGAATGAGCACTTGATACAGGCAAGCTGAAAAATTGCTTCTTTTTTTTTTCTCATTGACAACCCGTGGACTGCCGCTCCAGCTCGCGATCTGCACGCTGCGACTTTTTTCACGCAAGAAGTTGGCAGGACGCTGGAATCTGATAAACTGGAATTTTATTCTCTTTTTAATTCAGAATATCTGTGGTGGATATTCCAGTCTGTAACTGTCACCGGCGTTCTTGGATCTAAGTGCTCGGAGAGAGGGGCGATAGGAATCGGCTACTTTTTTGGCTCGTTTAGGCAGGAGAATGAGTATTAAGACAGTTCAGGTAGGGGATGAGGTGTTGAGGAAGGGGCCATGGATGCCCGAAGAGGACGAGATATTGGTAGAGTATGTACGTCAATATGGACCTCGGGATTGGAGCTCCATTCGTTCCAAAGGCCTCCTCCCACGCACTGGGAAATCCTGCCGCTTGCGCTGGGTCAACAAGCTCAAGCCCGATTTGAAAAGGTTTTCCATTCTTTCATTCCGTGCTCGTGGAAAGATCACACACACACATACATATATATGTATATAAGCTTTGAATGTGATTTTTCTTTTGTCTCAGAAGTGGGTGTAAATTCTCCCCCGAAGAAGAAAAGCTTGTGGTGGAAATGCAATCGAAACTTGGCAACAAGTGGGCCAAGATCGCGTCGTGCCTTCCAGGACGCACCGATAACGATGTCAAGAACTTTTGGAGCACCAGGCAAAAGCGACTCCTCAGGGCGCTCCAGCGGCCAAAGACGCCGTCCGGGAAAGGCGATTGCTCCAGCCTCGACTTGCATGACATGAACAAAGAGCCCCTCAACGAGTTCTCTGCGTTCCAGGTAGAAGCAAACCACTTGTAACTTGATCTAGGAACACAAATAAAAAGAGTGGAAAAAGCTTGGTTCTTTTCTTCTTTTCTGCCACTACCAAAATGTTTCTTTTTTTTCTTCACACAAACACAGGTCCCAAGTCCTTCGTGCTCTCCCACGCTGTTGTCATCACCCTTCCAGAGTTTTGGCCCGCCTCTCTTCTTCGGAAACGAAGAGGAGGACAACACCTTCAAGGGGCAATCTGATGAGTGGAAACCAAGTAGGCAGAGCTTGCAAGCCTTTGGTGACTTGGAAGACATGGAAGATGTCTTGACTGCAAAGTTGCCGGACATTGGGCCACCCGACTATCCGTTTCCGGATACAGATTTCTCAAACTCGAATGCTGCGGCAGTGGCGGCAGCAGCAGCAGCCACAACTGGCACCCCTCCAGCTCAACACCAACATCAGCAAGATCAACAACAGCAGCAGCAAGGTGGTGCTACCTTATGTTGTAGTGACCTTTCGGGATTTTTGGCTGGCAGTCCACCGCAATGGGAGAAGCTGCCGCTCTTGTGCCTTGATCCAGATGCGTGCATAAAAGAGGAAGGAGACTCCATCAGTCCCGACAGCGTGCTCTCTGGCTTCCCGGCTGATGTGTTTGATTCACTTGCACCCAGGTTTGGTCCTGCAAAGTTTGTCAGTATGTTTAGTCTAGTCGAGTGACTTCGTCTCCAAGCTCTAGTAGCTATTGTAGCAGTAGACTAGTAGTAATTTTTTATACGAGCAAAGCTCTCTTCATGGATCATGTGCTCCAGTAGTAGTATTCTTTTCGAGCCGAGCCTAGAGCTCAATAGAGCTCACTTTCAGAACGGTTGAAGTTGAAGAGGATGCATGTACCAGACAACGCGAGCAGCTCGTACTCACAAAGCAGCCACGAAATTTTTCTTACCGGCCATGCTTCAACATGGATTTGGATCTACGCTGCAAGACTTGACGTTCCTCTTGTTCTTTTTTCGCGTCGCGATGCACATCTACTGGTTGTCGGCGGGTATGCGATCTTCATTAAGCTCGATTCTTCTCTCGCAGGTAATGGAGGAAGCCTGGCTATATTTTCGTTTCGCTGTATGGTGGATCTTCGATCGGGCTCGGTAAGTTCTTGGATTTCTTATATTTTTTTCTCTCTTGAAGTCTTAAGTGATTCTACCGGCTCGGGAGTACACACGTTCGTGCTCTACCTTGGTCCTCACATTGCCGTGTTCACGCTCAAAGCCACCTCTGTGGACGCGACGACTTAAAAAGTCCGCTCCATACGACACACCACATTTTGAAACGAGCGCCTCCTGTACGAGCATTGGCCTCAGTGTCCCGGACTTGCATCTGAGCTCCTTCGACCGACGAACGACAACGACGACGATATCATAGTGGTATGGATCAAGAAGAAACCATCGAAGCTCTGGCACAAGCAAATTTAGAGCCGGGTATAGGTACCTGCTCGTCAAGGCCAACACCGAGCTAGCGAGAGCAGCAGCACTAGACCCGCCGATTCTTTTTCCAGCCGGAGCAGCGCAGCAGCCAACATCGTGGAGCTCGAATTTATCTGTACCAAAGTTCAATGCTCGCAAATAAAGAAACAAGAAAGGAAAAAAAACGCCATGAGGCGCACGAGGATCTTTTTACTGCATTAAAAACAGGTAAACAAACAAAAAAGGAAGTATTGAAAGATGCAGAGCAAAAATTGGCACATTTATGAATCGTCTACAAACACTCGAACAAACTCGTGAATCACAAAGCGAAAATAGCAATCGATTCTCTTTTCTGATACTTGTACATGAGATTTACGCTTGGTCCGCAGCACCACCATCGTTGTCAGCTTATTGTCATGCACCTTTCTCTTTTGCTTGTTCTCTTGCCGATGGACATGTCCAACTTCCACGGTACAGCATGTCCTTGTTAATCTAAGCCCAAAAAAATAGTTAATCAGTAACAGCGCATTAGCAAGAGAAATCGCATATACCTTTGTCTCTATGATTGCACTTTGTATGGAGGCTTTATGTAATCCAAAAGACCAAAAGAGGTTTATAAAATAAGATAAGTTTTAAACAAATACAATCAAGACTAAGTCTTTAGCTTTATTATCCCTATTACCCCTATGACTTGTATTAATACTTAATTGTGGTCTCCCATTCAACCTCAAACTCAGATCTCGTTTTTATATGTTTTGCAATTTATTAATATCAACCAAAAATCAACTATGTACAAGGCTGTAGATGCTAACAAGCAGAATTTGGTAAGAATCTAGTATTATCTTGTGGCCACTCACTGTGTTCCTGGAGCAAATCAAGAGCAGCGCAAGGCAAATGTCAAGAAGAAGAAAAAGAAAGGATCTTCGCTGATCGATCTCTGGCTGAGTCTCGGCCAAAGGTCAAAGTCAAGAGAGCTCTCAAGAGGATGATGAGACACATCGTGATGAAGTGAAGCACAAGCACGATGGGGGCAAAGATGGAGATGGTGAAGATCGGATTTAAGAGGAGCATGGAGAACACGATGATAAAGATGAATTCATGGGCGTAACTTAGGATTAAAATTCAACAGTGGTCTTCCTGTTCTAGAAGAAGGTTTTCTCTGTGCTCTTCATCTTCCAGTTCTACGAAGCAGATTGGCACGGGGATCTTAGAAAGAAAATTCTTCAAGACTACTGCGAAAAGTAATGACGAGTACTACTATGATTGTCATTACAAGTACATTACAAGCTGATAGAACTTTTTGTCAGGGTAATTTTTTGTTCATTTTTTAGTTCTTTCACGATAGTGTTTTCGTGCAAGTAACCAGTTTGGGAGGATTTTCTCAGGTCGGGCAACTAAAAATCGAAAAACTTTGATGTATTTATAAGCTGTTAACATACATTTATCCTTCCCACTAATATATCCTTGAATAAACTACATTTCTACCTTTTGGACCAGCTTCTACTGATGCATCATGGGCCATCGTCACGGTCCTTGAGAAGATTACAAATGTCACTACACTCAACCAAGCTGGCAAAGAGGCAAAGAATCGAAATCGAGAGCTCAACGTAGCAAAGCTTACCAGTACTTGCGAGTTCGAAAGCCATCCTTGAAGACAACCAAAGGTCTGTAAGGAAAACACAGTTCTGTCGTAGGATCACTAGATAAGAACTAAAATCATGCATTACCTTCTGATGTTTAGGGGCCCTTCTCCCGGTCCTCCAGCTCCTCCTGCGATGCAAGTCGACACACACTTTTGTGTGCATCTCTCGGCCTTGGGAGAGATTGGTCTTTGGATCCTGGCCGCTTTCTCCGAGCCTGAGCGTTTAAAACCCGACTGGGAATGAGCACTCGATACAGGCAAGCTGAAAAATTGCTTTTTTTTTCTCTCATCGACAACCTTGAATGTCCCGAGGAACGTTGTTGTAAGTGTCTTTTTCCGAGATCTCAGCAAGAGCGTTAGAACAACACAGTGTTGCTACCACGGCAAAGAGGCAAACTCCAGTGGCCAATCCATGCTTGGATACTACTGCTAATTCTCCATCCTTGCGAGCTATCAAAGATTTAGAACTTACTGGAGAATGGAGCTCAGCCTTCTTACTCATGCGAAACAAAGGTCCTAGAGAGGTAAGCGAAAGACACTGTGCCATGGCCATTAGCCATCCCGCTAGGACACGTGTCAGCATCTCATTTGAAGGATCTAACAGATGTCAATCTTCCATTCGTCGAACTAGCCGTTTAAAAATCACTTTGAAAACGCCGAGCATTTTGCCCTAGCGTGGAATGGGGCGATGGCGGAAGAAGCCCCAAATGGTGCTTTGCGCTGCGCTTGGAAGGGGCCACATGATCCCGATGATGGGCCTCGCTCGATCGCTAGCTTCTACAGGTGAAATATCGGTCACAATCGTCTTCCAGAACGCTGGAGCTCGGAATTCCATCCAGGAAGCAACATTCTTCTCAGGGCTGGACGTGGAGCTCGCAGTCCTAGACGCGGCTAATCTGTGCGAGGATCCGCCATGGCTGACTGGCGGATCCGTCAGCGCAAGGATGCACAAGGATCGATCGCGGCGATCGCCTAAGGCAGCAGCAGGTTCCATGGATCCAGAATCGGCGCTTCGAGAGCTCCTCGCAGATCTTCTCGCTTCTCCATCGCCTCCGGTCTGCCTTGTGGCCGATTTCTCGCTGCCGTGGACTGCCGCTCCAGCTCGCGATCTAGATCTGGCGAGGTATGTGCTCTACACGGACCCTGCGAATTTCATGGCTGTGGCGTATTTTTGCAAGAAGCTCGTGGAGATGGCGATCTTGCCGGCCAAAGATCCCCGCGAGAAGAAGATCGCTGTTCCTGGCGTCCCGGATCTCTCCCAGCACGATATTTCGCAGTATATATGGGATTCCAGGGACCAATATCACCTCCGGGTAGAACTCTGGCACCGAAAGACAGTGGAATCCGACGGTGTGCTACTCAACACTTTCTACGAGCTCGAATCCTCGGCCGTCGATGCGCTTCGAGAAGAGATTCTCCCCGGGACGAGCTTGTTCACTGTTGGGCCGCTCATAGCGACTGGCTCTTCCGGCTCGGAAAGTGATAGCAGATGTGCGGTGTACGGGGCCGAGAAGAATGCGTGCATGGAGTGGCTGGATTCCAAACCGGAATCCTCTGTTCTCTACGTGAGCTTCGGCAGCTGGGAGGTTCTGGTGGACGATCAGATAACGGAGCTTGCGCGAGCATTAGAATCCAGCGGCTGTTTCTTCCTGTGGGTGGTGAGGCTCGCTCCAGGATCCAGCATTGGGAGCTTGCTGCCACAGGGATTCGAGAGCAGGGTGATCGCCCCTGGACGTGGTTTGATCGTCACGACTTGGGCGCCTCAACAGGAGATTCTCAAGCACCAGGCAACTGGAGGATTTGTGACACACTGCGGCTGGAATTCCGTGCTGGAGTGCGTTTGCTTGGCGGGTGTGCCAATGGTTTGCTGGCCTTTGATCTCGGATCAACCGACGACGTGCCGGTTTGTGGTGGACGGGCTTAGAATCGGAGTCGAGATCCACGAGGATGCGAGTGGTTTCGTGGATAGGGGGGAGATTGAGAATGCCGTAAAGATGGTGATGGTGGAAGGCGCTGAGATGCGGCGCATTGCCGAGGAGTATAAGAGACTAGCAGCGATTGCCGCTAGCGAGGAGGGGAGCTCGAGCATCAGCTTAAGAGAATTCATGGACAAGGCACTCAAGGGACGAAGTTATGTCCCTTGCAACTCCGGGAACTCTACGTGATCATCATGGTTAGCAGTCACTGGCAGTAGATGCTAGCGAGCAGAATTTGGTGACTACTGTCTCTAGGATCGAGCTCGAAGCCACGCTCAGCGCAGTACTTGGCACCGCGAACACGACCATGGCTTTTGTAAGCTGCCAGCAACGTAGCCCAAGCCACAGGGGAGTCTTGTAGCACCGGAAGACTGTGAACGAGCTCCTCGGCGATTGACAAGAATCCCGATCGCGCAGTAACGTCGACCATGCAGCACAGATGCTCCAGCCGCGGCGTCACGCCTTGCTCTTGCATCAGATGAAGGTAGCAGCGAGCTTCAGCGACAAGGCCGGCATGGCTGCAAGCTTTTACGAGAGCCGAGTACGTTATCTCATCAGTTTCCACGCTCTCCATCCTCATTGTGTAGAACAGTTCCTTGCAGCGTTCGACCCGCCCGAAGCGTCCACAGGCCGTCACCAACACGTTCCAGCACGCGTTGCTAGTGTGGAGAACGTCGTGAGGTAGTGCCTTGAAAAGCTCTTGTGCTCCATCGCTGACGCGAGTCCCTGTGCAGGAAAACTCGTACTCGCAATGAGCTTGCAGCAAAGCAGTCCAGGAAACAACGTCCGGGTAGAGAATGCCGTCGAAGGTGATCTTCGCAAGCTCTGTGTGCCCGTTGCGAGCGTGCATCGTGAGAAGAATGTTGGAGAGCAGCACGTCCAGTTCAGGCAGTCGAGAAAGAAAATCGAGCGCGTGAGAGGAATGCCCCTCTTGAGCATACATTTGCAGCATCGACGCCCAAGGCACCGTCAACCAGCACGGCATCGCGTCAAACACCAGCTTTGCTTCTTCCAAATACCTGGCTTTGGCGAATCCATCGAGCAGGCAAGTGTAAGTCACTAGATTTCGTGCAGGCATCTGATCAAACAAGCTCTTTGCCTTGTCCAGGAAGCCATGGTTTCGTACGTAAGCGAAGATCATGGTGTTCCAAGAGATGATGTCCCGTACGCCAGCCATGGCGTCGAACAAAGCTCTGGCCTTGTCTACAAGGACACGGGACTGGCTATACGCCGAGAGAAGGATGTTCCACGACGCTACGCTTCGCTCCGGCATTCTCACGAAGAGATCCTCGGCGTCTTTCAGGTACGAAAGCTTTGCATAAGCTGAGATCATCGAGTTCCAGGAGACGACGTTGCGCTCGAGCATGGAGTCGAAAATCCGTCTGGCATCCGAGAGATGACCGTGCTGGGCATGCGCTTGGAGCATGGCTGTCCAGGACACGACGTTCCACTCGGGCATTCTCTCAAACGTCGCCTGCGCTCCCTCGAGATGCCCATTTACGGCATAAGCCTGGAGAAGGATCGTCCACGAGTAGACATTTGGGCGAGCGATGGTGCGGAAATGCGACACTGCTCGCTCCAAGTTGGCGCTCTGGCCATACGAATCAATCCTCAGGTTTGCCTCCAGTATGCTGCTTTGTGAATCGTAGAACCCACCTTTGTGTTCTTGATGATAGACCACGAAGAAGAACGCAGCAATGTTACAAGAACAGCAATGCATCGCGCTCATCAAGTCTTGCACCACTCTATCCCAGCTCCAAGGCGTTCACAGCTCGTCCATTCCGGATCCTTGCTCCACCATTCTCTCCAACGTTTTGATCCAAATCTATGGCCGCCTCGGCAGCGTGGAGCAAGCCCGGCGTGTCTTTGACACAATGCACTCCCGCGACAGCTTCTCCTGGAACGTTATGCTCGTGGCATATTCGCGGAACGGGCATCTCGAATATGCCAAGGCCGTGTTTGATGCCAATCCACGCCCGGACTTTGTTTCGTGGACCTCGATAGTTAGCACTTACAGCAGCCGGGGAATGTTGCAAGATGCTCGGAATCTGTTTGACAAGATGCCCCAGAGGAATCTCGTCTCGTGGAACGCGATGCTCGCGGCATATGCCAAGGAAGGGCACGTCACGGAGACCAAAAATCTGTTTCACAACATGCCTTTGCAAAACTTGATCTCGTGGACGATAGTTTTAAGTGTTCTTAGCCAGGCATTGCTTTTAGAGGAAGCTGAGAAGATATACCTCGCGATGCCTGAGAGAGATGCGGTATCGACGACCGTGATGCTTGAAGCAAATGCTCAACACGGGCATTTTGGCAAAGTAAATACCATCTTTGACGATATGGCGATTCACGACCTTGTTTCATGGAACGCGTTGCTCAGTGCTTATGCCAAGTATGGCAGCAACCCTTTACATCAGTGCAAGGAAGTTTTCTACAAAATGCCCTGTTGGAACCTTGTGTCGTGGAATGCGATGCTGCTGGCCTTTGCAGGCACTGATCTCAAAGCCGCGAAGAACTGGTTTGACAACGAGATGAGCGAGCCGGGAACGAGAGATCTCATCTCCTGGAACATTCTCATGTCCGCCTTTGCAAAACACGGCCTCGTCGACGAAGCAAGCGAAGTCTTCTCGCAAATGCCCGTTTGCGATCAAGTGTCATGGAACTCGCTGCTCTCTGCGTTTGCTCAAAACGGGAGGCTGCCAGAGGCCAAGCAAGCGTTTCACGAAAAAATGCCGGCTTGGGATTCCATCTCGTGGACGATCATGCTGTACGCCTATGCTGCATCAGGCAACGTTGAAGAAGCCAAAGTTTTGTTTGACAAAATGCCGCTCAAGAGCCTGATCTCCACAAACCTGCTGCTTTTCGTGTATGCCCAAGCCCGCTATGACGAACAAGCTCGAAAGTTCCTCGACGAAAGCGCTGCCGAGCATAGCTTAGCTTCGTGGACGATGGTTTTGTCCGCGTACGCGCTGAATTCCCAGCTCCGGGATGCCCAAGATCTGTTCGAAAGAATGCCAGAGAAAGATACCGTGGCTTGGACCTCAATTCTTGCTGCAAATGCCACTTCCGGGCAAATGCATCGAGCAAAGAGACTGTTCGATGCGATGCCCGAGCTGGATCTCGTGGCCTGGACCGTGATGCTGGAAATGCACGCCCAAAACAGCGACCCAGAAGGAGTGCTCGATCTCTCGCGTCAAATGCTGATCCATGGAATCCTCCCGGATAACACTGCCTTTACGTGTATGCTCTTTGGGTGTAGCCATGGCGGCGACGTCGCCGCCGGGCGTTCGAGCTTCCACTCCATGGCGATCGATTTCCACCTGGAAGGCGGGAGGAGGGATTACGGATGTATGATCGATCTGCTGGGCCGCGCCGGACACCTGGAGGATGCGATCGATCTGGTGGAGACGATGCCCTATCCCGCGCGCGTCGATGATTGGATCTGCCTGCTGGGTTCTTGTCGAAGGATTCGCGACGCGCGGCGTGCCACTCGCGCTGCCAGCCGCGCCGTGGAGCTCGATCGAGCGGCGGCACCCTACATTCTCCTGGCAAACACATTCTCTTAATGCGCGAATTTGTTTTTAGGGTTCTTGGGAAATTTACACTGCTCTAGCTCTCAATTCTCTTCCAGGAGCTCCATGACCTTCTCGATCGGTACCTCCTCGACCTTCTTGATAACCGTGGTGATCTCGCCGCGCTCCAGAGCCTCGTAAAATTCCCGGACACGGCGCTTGTAGCTGATGTGGTACATTTTCCAGCAAGAAGCCACTAATCGAGAGGAATGTTCGTGAGAAAGCCTTGGCGCGATCGAATTGAGATACCTGAGAGGCCCAGAGCGAGGCCGTAGAAGATCTCCCTCACGATGCTTGGCGGCCTCCTAGCCGTGGCTGCCGCGGCAGTGGCGACTTTAGAAGCCATGGATTAGGGTTCTTCGCATTCTCCTCTTTCTAGCTAGGTAGGGCTTGAGGACGACGGCGATGGCGGAAAATTTCGGCCTGGGGATGCTACTGGACATTGTGGACGATGACTGGTTGCGCGATACGCTCCCTGACGACGGTAAGATCGATCTTGTGCTAATCGATTGATCGATATTTCCTTGTCATAGATATTCCATTTCCTCCCGGCGTCGTTCCCCCGACCGATGACATGGAAGAATCGAGTATGATTTCTCTCCTCTCTGGGATCGATCGATCGCTCACTGTGTTCTTGGACCAGATCAAGAGCAGCAGCTCGCGGCGCAGGACAAATGGACCGATCTCGGCCTCAACACGATTCAGTGATCTTTCAGAGAGACTTCTCCATTGGCGGGAAAATAGAGTTTTTAGGGTTCTATGGCGTCCAGGAGGCGGGCAGCGCCATCGCAGAGCTCCGCTCCACCTCCAAAGCGCCAGGGGAGCTCTCAGGCACCGGCGGCGACGCGAATGCCAGAGCCGCCGCCTCCTCCTCCTGTCGACGAGGAGGACTTCGATGAAGATGTGTTCTTGGAGGAGACGCTTCTCAGGGACGTGGAGCTCCAGGCCACTGGCATAACTGCGAGCTTGGCCAAATGGAAGCGCAACCACGTCGAGGCGTTTGATCCAAAAGAGCATCCCGTTGGTACATAGCACTTGCTTGTTTTTGCGTCTTCTTCGAGCTTACCTTAATCTCGTTGTCAGTGTTTCAGCAACTCGAGATTGACTATGTGATCGGCGAAAGCGATAGAGAGTGGATGCCAGGAAGAACTGGCCCTGCTGCAATTTTGAGGATGTTTGGTGTCACGCTGCAAGGTCTGTCTTTGCTTTTTCAAACTTTTACAAAGGGTTTTGATTGATCATCGGTCATCCAGGAAACAGTGTTTGCTGTCATATACACGGGTTTGAGCCTTACTTTTATATCAGCTGTCCTGACGGATGGAATCCTGATGACACGTCTAAGTTTCGCCATACTCTCGAGGTAAGTATCAATGCAATATCATTGCGGAACTATATGTGTTTTACAGACAAGAATGCGCGAAGCAAACAGGAATAGCAAGACTCCCACTTTTGTTACAAGAGTAGAGATGGTCCAGAAGCGAAGCTTGATGTACTTCCAAACACAGAAAGCAAGGGCGTTCCTCAAGATTGTTGTTGCGCTTCCAACAATGGTTGCTTCCTGTAGAGGTACGACTTTTTAGTAGAGTACTGAAACTAAGTACGCTTTTCCGAGCAGGAATTCTTGAAAAAGGCATCACTTTGGAAGGCTTTGGTCATAAATGCTTCATCACATACGAGAGCAATATTCTCTTTGCTCTTCGATTCATGATTGATTGCAACGTAGGTGGTGGAAACTGGATTGAGCTTCCTGGTGGATCTTATCGTTTGACTCCACGCCGACTTTCAACCTGCCAAATTGAGATCGATATACTGTAAGTTTGTCATTTCAAATGTGAAATATTGTGAAATGTTCAACACTTTTATTTGTGCTTTCTGATCCAGATACAACAAGATTGTCAGTCATAGTGCTACTGGCCAGTACTCCAAGCTTGCACCTTTTCGTATATTGAGCTTTGACATCGAATGTGCTGGGCGGAAAGGACATTTTCCAGAGCCCGAACATGATCCCGTTATTCAGGTGCGTATCTTTCATTTGTTTTTCGATTCAATAAGTGGCGCCATTATGTAGATTGCGAATCTTGTGACAGTTCAAGGGGAAAGTCGTCCTATGGTTCGAAATGTGATGACGCTCAAATCTTGTTCTGCGATAGTTGGAGTGGACGTTATGTCCTTCGATACTGAGAAAGAGGTCCTCTTGGCATGGCGGGTAAGTATTTCTTAATAATTACAATATAGTATAATGTGATTGTGATTGTGCAGGACCTTATCCGAGAAGTTGACCCCTGACATTATTATCGGCTATAACATTTGCAAGTTCGATATGCCTTACCTGATCGAGGTATGTTAAATTCTGTGATTTCTGCTCACGCTTTCATCTTGCCTGGGCAGAGGGCACAAAAACTTGGAATTGTGGAGTTTCCTGTTCTTGGACGTATTCGCAACAGCCGAGTCCGTGTTAGAGATGCGACATTTTCTTCAAGGTTGTAAATGCGCCTGGTGGTTGTCACTAATATTTGCTCCATTCGTTTAGGCAATATGGTATAAGGGAAAGCAAGGAAGTTTTGATAGAAGGACGCGTACAATTCGATTTGCTACAGGTTTTTTGCATTTATTTTTGTCTGGCACTAATGTGAAGTTTCCCTGCAGGCAATGCAAAGAGATTATAAGCTCAGCTCATACTCCTTAAACTCGGTGTCTGCTCATTTCCTTGGAGAGCAGGTTCAGAGCTTTTATTATTTTGAATAAGTCTCACCTTTGCCTTACAGAAAGAGGACGTCCACCATTCCATCATTGCTGATTTGCAAAATGGTAACTCGGAAACTCGGAGGCGTTTGGCTGTTTACTGCTTAAAAGTGAGCCGCACTTTGGTTCTATGTTTATATTTTCCATGTTTTCTCTGTCAGGATGCGTATCTGCCTCAGAGATTACTCGAAAAGCTGATGTTTATATATAACTATATCGAAATGGCAAGAGTAACAGGAGTTCCCATTTCGTTTCTTCTTTCGAGGGGACAAAGTATCAAGGTACAGTGGATTTTATTGTTATTTTTGCTCATTTATAACAAACACTACCCAGGTGCTTTCACAAATTCTAAGAAAATGCAGACAACGAAACTTTGTCGTGCCAAACATTAAGGGACAAGGGGCTGGGCAGGAAACCTTTGAAGGTGCAACCGTAAGTAGTTCGGGCTTTTGAATCGATTTTTATAAACGCTGCTGCGTTACAGGTTCTAGAAGCAAGGGCTGGATTTTACGAAAAGCCAATTGCCACGCTTGATTTTGCATCACTGTACCCATCAATTATGATGGCTTACAATCTTTGCTATTGCACCTTGGTACTGTACTCCATATTGTGTATTTGATTGTGGAATTACTTGTTTTATTCAGGTTAGAACGGAGGATCAAGCCAGATTGAACATAGCACCAGAAAATGTTAACAAAACGCCGTCTGGTGAAACGTTTGTCAAAACAAATATGGAGAAAGTAATAGCTCTATGTGCTTATATATGATGATTTTGACATTAATTTTCAGGGGATCCTTCCTGAAATCTTAGAGGAACTGCTTGCTGCCAGAAAGCGAGCCAGAGCCGACCTGAAGGTGATTTTAAGAAGAACGTTAAGCTTAACTTATCAAATCATTGCAGGAAGCTACCGATTCACTTGAAAAAGCCGTGTTGGACGGTCGGCAGCTAGCTCTCAAGGTTAGTTTTGAAGTTATCTCCCGGATTATGGTCTCTTAACAATATTGTGTCAGGTTAGTGCGAACTCAGTGTATGGATTCACAGGCGCAACAGTTGGCCAGCTTCCTTGCCTTGAAATTTCATCCAGCGTAACTAGCTATGGTACAATCTCATCCGTTTTGTTTTGTTGGTTTTAATAGAACGAGAGTTGCAGGAAGGCAGATGATTGAACACACCAAAACCCTCGTGGAAGGACGTTTCAACACAAGCAACAAATATGACAACAATGCAGAAGTACATGCTCGGCTTTGTAGAATTCTCAGGATTTGATCTTCTCTTACTGTTTTCAGGTGATCTACGGGGATACGGATTCAGTAATGGTTCAATTTGGTGTCTCTACCGTTGAGGACGCCATGAATCTTGGAAGGGAGGCGGCTGATTATATCAGCGGGACATTTACCAAGGTTTTGCCTTCATTGTATGTTTTCTCCACCGATGTTTTTTTCGGGTATTTGCAGCCTATCAAGTTGGAATTTGAGAAAGTGTACTTCCCCTATTTGCTGATTAGCAAAAAGAGGTATGCGGGCCTACTTTGGACGAAACCCGCAAAATACGACAAAATGGACACTAAAGGTATTATGACATTGTGCTACAGTATCTACTTAATGTGTGTTTTCTTGTTGTGCATTTTAGGAATTGAAACTGTTCGGCGAGATAATTGTTTACTAGTAAAAAATGTAGTGACTCAAAGCCTCCACAAGATTCTTGTTGATCGAGATGTGCCTGGAGCTGTGGACTATGTTAAGGGCATGATTTCGGACTTGCTGATGAATCGTATGGATCTATCACTTCTTGTTATCACAAAGGTATCATGTGAATAGTATTTGTATCTGTATATCACGGCTTGTTTCAGGGCCTCACAAAAACTGGCGATGATTATGCCGTCAAGGCTGCTCATGTTGAGCTTGCTGAGCGTATGCGTAAGGTATGTGCCTCTAAATTAGTACATGAGATCGACCTCTGACTTGTCTCAAACTCAACAGCGTGATGCAGCCACTGCTCCAAATGTAGGCGATCGTGTTCCTTACGTCATAATTAAAGCCGCAAAGGGAGCTAAGGTTGTATGTTTTTGTTCATTGATCTGCTGTCTCTTTAAATTATCTCCTTTCGCAGGCATATGAGCGGTCTGAGGATCCAATCTATGTCTTGGAAAATAACATTCCCATCGATCCTCAGTACTATCTGGAAAATCAGCTGAGTAAGGTACCACAAAAGACCGAGATTTGTTTGTGCGCTAAGATTATGAGTCGCAGCCACTGCTCCGGATATTCGAACCAATTCTCAAGAATGCGAGCAAGGAGCTTCTCCACGGGAGCCACACTCGCTCCGTGTATATCACAACGCCCTCCAACAGTGGCATTATGAAGTTCGCGAAAAAGCAACTAACCTGTCTGGGCTGCAAAGCTATAATCAGGTACAAGCTCCTACTATTTAACTGTAGCTGATTTGTCACTCGTCCTTTTGACGATAGTGGCGGCGACACACCATTGTGTAAACACTGCAACGGCCGTGAAGCGGAGCTATACCAGAGAACTGTTGCAAATGGTAGGTTCTGATATACCGTCAGCACTAACGCTACTGCTGTCACGCAGTGAGGGATTTGGAGCAGCTATTTGGAAGGCTGTGGACTCAATGCCAGCGGTGCCAAGGATCTTTACATCAAGACGTTTTGTGCACAAGGTTGAGCATTGTAGTAGTGTTTATGCCTCAACTAACAAAGGCATTGTGTTTGCAGTCGCGATTGCCCAATCTTCTATCGACGGAAAAAAGCACAGAAGGATCTGTCGGAAGCCGAACTGCAAGAGCAGCGCTGGGACTTTTAGAACATAGAAGGCTTTTCCATCTTGGACATCTCTATCAGATGTAAGGTTTCCAAGTAGAGGGGATTCATGCCTCTGAAGATATACTATAGCAGCAATCAGCAAGCTCATGACTCGGGAATATATAATGAAACATTTTCCAGTCTTTATTTATATGAAAAAATCGTTCTGCTTTCTTTCACAACACATCTTATTATGTTGAATCCATGGAACACAACATGAAACTTTTTACTTCTTGTAAGCTGGTGGAGGTGGCGATGCATACTTGTAGTAAGGTGGTGGAGGGGATTCATATTTGTAGTATGGAGGCGGTGGGGATTTGTAGTAATAGTAAGGTGGAGGTGGAGACTCGTACTTGTAGTATGGTGGTGGTGGAGACTCATACTTGTAATAAGGAGGCGGTGGAGATTTATAGTAATATGGAGGCGGTGGTGGCGATTCATACTTGTATGGTGGCGGAGGTGGGGATTCATACTTGTAAGGAGGCGGTGGGGGCGACTCATACTTGTATGGAGGCGGAGGTGGCGATTCGTACTTGTATGGTGGCGGAGGTGGGGATTCATACTTGTAAGGAGGTGGTGGGGGCGACTCATACTTGTATGGAGGTGGAGGTGGCGATTTGTACTTGTATGGTGGTGGCGGTGGAGATTCATACTTGTAAGGAGGCGGTGGGGGCGACTCATACTTGTATGGAGGTGGAGGCGGGGACTCGTACTTGTATGGAGGTGGAGGTGGTGATTCGTACTTGTATGGTGGCGGTGGCGGTGACTCATACTTGTATGGCGGGGGCGGTGGAGACTCATACTTGTATGGTGGCGGCGGTGGCGACTCATACTTGTATGGTGGTGGTGGTGGGG